AACCATCAAAATCATCACCATGGGCTCTATCGGATCCTCCCACCATGACCCGCAGCTCGCAGCCTCAGCATCCAGCAACGAGGCGGCGGACATGATCACGCTGGACTGCTCCAAGCTCCACGGGTCCGCCGCCGAACGAGGCGAAGCGCTCCGCCAGCTCGACCACGCCCTGCAAACCTACGGCTTCATCTACCTGGCCAACCACGGCATGCCGGCGGAGGTCTACGACCACGCCCTGGAATGGATAAGTTGGCCCCCATTTTTTCTCTGCTCTGCCTAAAAGCAAGACCCAACCCAACCCAACCCAACCCAAAAAAACTGACCAACCGCCTCCACTCCAAGCGCTTCTTCGCCCTCGACGCCGCCACCAAGAACCTGATCCCGCGGCCCGCCAGCGACGCCCTTGAGGACCACCTCGGCTACGCCGAGTACGGCGTCGGCCACATCAGCCAGCTGGTCTTCGACGAGGCGGCCGTGGAAGCCCACCGCCGCGCGTCGCCGGACCACAAGGAGACCCTGGAGGTGGGCAACCCGGCCGACCCGAAGAACCGGTGGCTGCCGGAGTCGGTCTTGCCGGGGTTCCGCGCCTTCTACGCGCGCTTCTGGGCCGCGTGCAACGAGGTCGAGGCCGCGCTGCGCCGCGCGCTCTGCGACATCCTCGCCATCGAGCCCGACAGGCTGTGCCGCATGCAGAGCCAGCGGTTCGGGCATATCAGCTTCCTCCACTATCCGCAGATGGTGCTGCAGTCGGCCGCGGCCACCACGGCGGCGGGGCAAGCCCCGCGTCGATTGAACGCGCACACCGACTACGGCGGCCTGACCCTCGTCTTCCAGGACCACGTGGGCGGGCTGGAGGTGCACGATGGCGCCGTCTTCCGGCCGGTGGCGCCCAAGCCCGGCACGATCGTCGTCAATGTCGGCGATATGCTGGAGCGGCAGTCGAATGGGCGGTGGAAGAGCGCCTTGCATCAGGTCGTGGGGCCGCGCGAGGAGACGCTGGGGCTCGGGGAGCCGGCGGCGGCAGCGGCGGCGGCACGCTCGGATGCGGGCAAGCTGGTCTTCGATCGCTACTCGATTGCCTATACCGGGGCGGTGGACCCCGAGGTCATGATCGAGACCTTGCCGGGCTGTGATGTGCCGGGGAAATGGAGGCCCAGTATGGCCGACTGGGACCAGGAAAAGCCGGTGACCTCCTATGAGTGGCTGACGAAACGGGTGGCAGCCGAGTATCACCAGGGCTGAATGGGGACAGTGGTGCAAATGGGGTTCAACATGCAATAAATTGGAGGTCTGCAGTTGGGAAATTGTACTACCGATTCAGATTAGGGCTCGTGCCGGGGGAGGAGAGCGATCAGCACGGTGCATGGCATTGCATGCCTGCGGAAGTAATAGTCTGGAAATTGCTCATTTCAATCAAGCAAGGGATGGGCGCATATTCCGCATATTCTAGTGATCTCTGTTGTTCAGACCATTCGGAATTGAGGCGACGTCCAAGCCATCCATATGCTCCATATGCTGGCGATCGATAGTTTACTAAAGTAGGGCAAGCTTTCCTGGCTTCCTGTGATGTTGCCGGCTTGTTTTCAACTGTAATAACTGGCTGCCCACTTCCATGGCCAGCACGACTGTGAGTCACTCGCAGCTCGACTGTGTTCCAAGGCAAAGACGTTCTGTACTCTTCAACTTGAGATCCTCTGTCTCGTTCATCACGTTCGTGGCGTCTTACGCCGTCTTTACCGTACGTATGCCCCCCCCCTTTGTACTGTTACCCCAGAAGTGCGATCATCAAGTTACATAGACTGACGAACCTCAAGGATAGCTTCTTGTACGGACTGGTATGCTTGTTAGGAATTCCAACGCATCCGAGCACTCTCAATCAGTCCCATAGCTAAAGCCGCGTCAGATTGTCCCTGTGGTTCCTACTGCGCTCAATGACCGACTCGGGGTATCCAGAAATGACGGTAAATTGATGATTCTCTCGCGGGCTGTCTTCTCCGTCGTGTCGCTAATCTCCCGTCCCACAAGCACAGAGCAAACATGGACCTCGATCCTGATCGCGCTCTACGGCGCTGCTCAATTCTCTGTTGCACGTGAGTACGTTCATGAAACTTAAGAGACTCCCACCTCCAAGGCTAACGCTGGACCCCCCTCCACACGTCCAGCCCTCAGCGGCTACGTCTCCGATCGCATCCAGTCGCGGTGGTGGCCCATGGTGGCCGGAGTGCTGACCCTCGGCGCGGGGACGGCGCTGCTCTGCGCGGGGAACCGCATTGGCTTTTGGATCGCAGGTCGTCTCCTCCAGGGGGCCGCCGCCGCCATCGTCTGGACCGTCTCGTGCGCATTGCTGGTGGATACGGTTGCCGAGGAGCAGCTGGGCCACGCCATGGGGTATATGAGCATGGGTATGACCATCGGGAACCTCATCGGCCCGCTCATCGGCGGTGCGGTCTATGAGCATGCCGGGTACTACTCGGTCTTCATCGTGGCGTTTGTGCTGATCGGCCTCGATCTGGGCCTGCGGCTGCTGATCATTGAGAGGACACATGCCCCCGAGCCCGTTCGTGGTGGTTCGGGCCGGGGACCTTTCCTGGCCGACCCTGCGCGGGAACCGGCCGAACAACCCGAGGATGAGTCCGAACCTGCTGCACCTCCAGCGCTGCAGTCGCATACCGGTCTCCAGGGCCTCTGGAGACTGTTCTCCTCGCCTCGGATTCTGGTCGTCCTCTGGACGTGTCTCGTGATCTCGATCGTAATTTCCGCGTTCGACAGCGCCTTACCGCTGTTCGTCCAGGACGCCTACGCATGGGCGCAGACCGCGCAGGGGTTGATCTTCATCCCGTTCCTCGTGCCCAGCCTTCTGGGCCCGCTGGTCGGTTGGATCAACGACCGAGTCCCCTCCAAGCATCGTCGGCTTTTGGCCGGCGGGGCGTTGTTGCTAAGTGTGCCCCCGGCCGTCCTTCTTCGTCTGGTCTCCGACAATGACCTTGCGCACAAGGTCCTCCTCTGTGTCCTGCTCCTCCTGCTAGGAGTGTGCATGAGTCTGTTGTTCCCCTTGGTCCTGGCGGAGAATTCGTATGCCGCGGCCGAGAAGGAGCAGGAGGCCCCGTCGACCTTTGGCACCCAGGGGGCTATGGGCCTGGCGTACGGCTTGGCCAACTCCGCCTACGCGGCTGGCTCCATTGCCGGCCCTCTGCTGGCGGGCTACATTCGCCAAGGTGCGGGTTGGGCCACGATGACCGGGGTGTTGGGCTTACTGACGGGGGTCTCGACTCTCCCTGTACTGTTCTGGTTTGGAGGCGTCGTGCCATGCAGAAAGATCGTGAGCTGGTAAGGGGATGGAGGGGAGCTCCCCGTGTCTCATCCATACTGCACGCGTTCACCGTATTCGTCGAGGGGGTGTAGTCTTCGCCGCATCGTGGCAATGGCAAACGAATGATATGCAGGGTGTTCTGTATCACTTGTGCCCTTATTTTTGGGACTCAATTCATGCACAGCCACATGCTGTTCGAGGCCAACCTAGAGGAAAGCACGAGCATGACCCCCCCGTGCAGATCGCTTGCAAATGATGGATGTCCTTGTAATGATAACTTCATCTACACCTGATTCATGTTTTCCGTTTGCAGTCAAGACATCCCAGATGTAAAAGTGAGGGCGTTCGTGGTCAGGAGTATATCCCGGCCGACGAAAGCAGCGCCAGTATTGCTCGGCTTCTGCTGCTGTGTCAGATCAACGAGCAGAATGTAAGGCGGTGGTTGCCACATACCTGAACATACCTGAACATACCCTGCCCTACAATCTGCAAATCTGCAAGGGCCCTCGTCTACCTTCAACCATCCCATCCCCCTTTGAGGCTGTGAGCTACACCGCTATTTCCCATTTGCTTCTGCATGATTTGCTTCTGGTCATGCAGACGGCCCGGCCGGCCGGCCTGTGTCTAAAAATCCTTCTCCATCTTGGCGTCTGATGCCGCCAGAAAAGGACTAACGATGCAATTAAAATGCTAGTAGTACTCAACAGGCCCAGCCTCTGCACATGAACAGCCCAACTAAGGCATTGGGATAGGGAGGTAAGTCCATTCTTGTCTTACCGTCTCCATCTTCTCGATTCTTCATCCCCGCCTGCAGAATCTTCCTCTTTTGCCTATTTGGGGTTATCCTTGGCGAGGGGTCAGGCTGTCTGGGACGACCAAAAACAACCACGATAAATAAAGCTGTTAAACAGACAGGCTCTCACCGGTCACCGTATCGACAACCTCAACAGTAAATCGACGGGGGACCCGACCATATTGTGCCCTAACAAACACAATGGGAGACTTAACATTGCGCAATGCTCGTGGCCTGTCCTTCACGGAGAGTGTGCTCTCCTCCTGTCAAAGGGTAGAGGATCTACTGACAAGCAAGACCCCAATTGTGCTGAACGGAAGTACCCTAGATGTGGGTGCGGTGGTTGTCGTGGCTCAGTATGTTTTCTTTCCCCGGACCCCGGTCCATCCACTCACTTCCCCTCCACCCCCTAATCGAATCTACCCCAGATACGGCCAGCATGCCACCATGACCAGTGACCCCACTATCCGTCAAAGCATGGAAGCCAGCGTGGACTTTCTGGATCAGCAGCTGCAGCGCGGCGAAGTGGTGTACGGGGTCAACACGGGGTTCGGCGGCAGTGCGGACACGCGGACCACGCACTACGCCGGCCTCCAGAAGGCCCTAATTCAGATGCAAACCTCGTGCGTTCTTCTGCCCAGCGATCGACAACAATCCTCCCCGGGGGTTTGGGGTGCCGCCGCCGCCACCACCTTCCGCCCCTGCCACCGGAGCCATAGCATGCCGATTCCCGTGGTCCGGGCGGCGATGTTGACGCGCTGCAATTCCCTGCTCCGCGGTCATTCAGCCGTGCGGCCGGTCGTGGTCGAGCATATCCTCACGCTGTTGCGCCACGGCATGACGCCGGTCGTGCCGCTCCGGGGCAGCATCTCCGCCTCGGGCGACCTGGCGCCGCTCTCCTACATCGCCGGCACCTTGGAGGGCAACCCCGACATCTCCGTGCATGTCCACGAGACCGACCAGATCCTTCCCGCAGACGACGCCCTCCGGCAGCTGGGACTCCCCGCACTCGATCTGGGACCCAAGGAGGGACTCGGCCTGCTCAACGGGACGGCCTTCAGCTGCGGCGCCGCCAGTCTGGTCCTGTTCGAAGCCAACCAGCTCCTCCTCCTCTCACAGCTCCTGACCGCTATGGCTACGGAGGCTCTCGCCGGCCAGGCGGACAACTACCACCCGTTTATCGCGGCCGTGCGACCCCACGACGGGCAGATCGAAGCGGCCGTCAACATCTTCGGCTTCCTGGCTGACTCCCGTCTCGCGGCGCGGTCCACGGAGGGTGAGGCTACGGGCAACAACAGCAGCATGACCGACGCCGCGGGCCACGCCGGGCTCAGCCAGGACCGGTATGCCCTGCGCACAGCGACACAGTGGCTGGGACCGCAGCTCGAGACGATGGCGCTGGCGCTCAGGCAGGTGGCGACGGAGCTCAACTCGACGACGGACAACCCGCTGATCAGCGTGGCGGGCCGCCACGTCCACCACGGGGGCAACTTCCAGGCGGCGGCGATCACGTCGGCGATGGAGAAGACGCTGGGGTGCGTGCAGATGGTGGGCAAGATGCTGTTCGCGCAGTGCTCGGAGCTGCTGAACCCGGCGCTCAGCCACGGGCTGCCGCCGAACCTGAGCCTCGACGACCCCAGCCTGTCGTACGCGTTCAAGGGCCTCGACATCAACATGGCCGCCTACCTCTCCGAGCTGGGCTACCTCAACCACCCCGTCAGCAACCACGTGCAGTCCGCCGAGATGCACAACCAGAGCCTCAACTCGCTGGCCCTGGTGGGGTGCCGCTACGCCGCCGACGCCGTCGAGGTACTGGCCCTGATGACCGCCACCTTCCTGTACGTGCTGTGCCAGGCGCTGGACCTGCGCGTGTTGCAGACCGAGTTCCTGCGCGATGTGCGGCTCAAGGTCGACGCTCTCACCGACGAGGTGGTTGCTGCTGCATCGTGCCAGGGAACGGCGGCGGCGGCGGACCCCTCGATCCTCCAACACATCCGCACCACCATCTGGGCCGAGTTGATGTACCACTGGTCCCGATCCAGCACCCTCGACCTCGCCGACCGCTGCACGAGCACCGCCACGAGCACCGCCGGCACCCTGCTCGACCTACTACCGTCGCCGGACGCTGGCGCTGGCGCTGGCGAGACGGAGGGGCCATCGCTCCGCGCGTGGAAGCGCACTCTCGCTTGCACGCTGCGCGAGAGCTACGAGACTGTTCGCGCCACGCGCTTCACGCAGACCACCACCTCCCTTCCCACCCCAAACTACCTCTGCGGCGCGTCGCGACGGCTCTACGCCTTTGTGCGGGAGGAGCTGGGCGTCCCGCTTCATCGGGGGTTTGCGGATCACCCGACGGTCGATCGGACTCAGAGCGCGGGGAAGCTGACCATCGGGTCGCAGGTAAGTAAGGTCTACATGGCCTTGCGCGAGGGGCGTTTGCGACGGGTACTGTTGGAGTGTTGGTAGTGAATCTTCTCGGCTATGTATCTAGAATCCAGTATGAGCCATGCAGCATAGTAACATGACAAGGCAGCAACTCGAGCCATGATGCACCGACCAAGATCTTGCGCCTCAAACATGTAAGTTAAAGCGGAGGGGATTCTAACGGAATATGTATCACTGCCGAGAGTAGTGCAGAAAGGTCACTTACACCCGAAATCCAATGCAGCAGATATAGCCTAGCATATCTCAATCTCATAGTGAAGATGCACCTCAACTCAAGGGCATTTCCAGTTCATGATTCTTTCAATCCGTCGGACACAAGCTTCCGGGACATCTACCGATTGTTAACATTAGCAAGAGGAGCTCTCCAGCTGAGGTACCCTTCAAGCTCTATCTTTCAGCCGGAGATCTTAGCATCAAATACAGCCCTCGAGGAAGATGTGCATCAACTGTCTTTGTCCAGCAACAAAGCATTGCAGCCATAAAGCTAATATATAATGCATCAATGTTTTGCTCCTTCAGAGCGTCCCCTTCCCCCCCTTCTGTCCAACGGAACAGTCCTAGAAACGCCCACCTAGAACCTTTCCAAGACACCGACACCAAAAAAACAACAAAGCCTCCTACAAGTTCCGCTTCGTCAGAAGCTCGAGCTCTTTCAAGATGACGTGGTTGAACTGCTTCTGGCACGAAGGGAGTACGGAGTCGGAGTCATGTGGAATGTGCAGGGCGGCCCTAGGCGCACGCCGAGGGCTCGCGAGTCATGGATTTCCGCCCGTGCTGGACGGCCAGTGTCGCTGCTGTGGACCGAATGGCTTCATGCAACCGCCGTGCCAGAATCTCGAATGCCACCGCAATCGAAGACTTCGCGTCCTGCGCCAGCAGGCACGCGATCCTGACCGGCACGATCCTCCTCCTCCCCCTGACCCCAGTTCTCCTGGTGGGATTGACCGCCCCCGCATCATCTATTGCATCATGACGCAGGAACAGGAAGCTCGCCTAGACGAATACGAACGGTCGCTTCCCGAGCAGCGCCTGGATTTGGGGGTGCCCATGCCTATTCCAAGCACAGACTCCGATACCGAGGGCCTTGCTCGTGACCGCTGGCTGGCTTGGAGTTGTAGGCAGTATAATCGACAGATGCTCGAGTGGGAAGTTCTTCAAGAGCTCCAGAAGATTGATAGACAAGAGCTTCTACACCGACAGTACCTGCGCGAGCTGAATATCATGAATGGTATGCAAACTCTGGAAGCTGAGGCTCCGAGTATCAGCAGCTGCACCAACGGTGACACCAGCCCAAGAGACCGAGCAGTAGAGCGGTTGCAGGCAGCTCGGTGGGCAGAGGCAGACCCAGCTCCAGTGGTATTGACAGTGGACATCATACGGTTCCTGTTCAAATCTTCCATTCCCGAGTCCTACCTGTGTTTAGTCGAGGAATATGGAGATCGCGAGGTAGCCCCGAGCTCAGCGAGTGCAATCCAGGAGCTGCTAATTCGGAAGGATGCCGGAAGGCCGCTGAACTGGGACGTTCGCCGTGAAGCACCGGTGCGGGTCGACCGCCCTGGCCCATGTAGTTGCAACTGGAATCCGCGACGCCGGCCTACATCAACGCACCCTCCAACACCAAGCAGCTCTGCCGTCACAACCCGGCCCGGTTCCGCTTCCTATCGATGGGAGCCATATCCCCGTAACCGGCCTGACACACGCGACTCCAGAGTGGTTATTCCAACTTGCCCTTGCTGCGGGGTATGGGCGACGGACATGCCATGGCCCACGTTTCAAGGCGCAACTTTGGACAACAATCTGCTATACCACGACACTGCCACTCCACCCGAGGTTCCGGTATCCGACATAACCCGTCTCCTTGTGCAGAATCTCAACCTTCCCATGGTCGAATATGTCAGCATGGATCTGGAAGGGGACGTTATCGACGAGACGTTTGAAGCTGCAAGTGAGTATGGTGAGAACCACGAAGAAAACGATATGTGGTAAGGAAAACGGAAAATTAACGAAAAAAAAGCAAGAAAAGAAATCTCCTCGGAGAAAGACAATAAGAAGAACCATCCATAGAATTTTTCTTCCCTCCCACCTATAAAGTTGACAAATCACAAAGCGCATAGGTAACTCCCGCCCAATAACACGATCTGAACAAAGATCACGAAGAATCCGATTGGAATACAGTGCCCTATGCCAGCCACGAAGTAATATTAAAGCTCCCTCCTGAGTCATATGCAGCATGTTGCGTTGAAAAACCAAAAAGGAAAGTAGCCTTACCTAAACCCGACTCACGAACTCAACCCCGTGGAAATACTATGGAGACTCCGTGCCCCGTTAAGTGTGGCTGGTGCGCCCGCATAGATCTCCATGATAGCAGGGGCCAATAGCGCATAAGTCCGGGTCGCCTGACAATCCAAGGGGAAGTCTAATGTGCCATCCGGTACCAGAACATACTTTCATTCAGGACACATCTTTTGTGTTCAAATGGCGCTCGAACCCCCCGCACTTCGATAAGCTTCGTGGTGGGCAGTTGGTCATTCCCAAAGGTCGCGGAAGGTCGAAGTATGCGCGATGGTGATATCGCCAGTAATGCTGCTGCCAGAAACAAAGTTTTCTCGACTTATCCGTCCCACCTCGAGCCCAAAGCTAGCCTCTACACCTTCCCTTATCAAGCTTGACAAGCCATGTCGATCTCGAGACTAGCCGTGCGCTTGTAAGAGGACGGAGGCAGATGATGTCTAGACCTTGATTTCTGCAGCTGTTAGTCAAGACGTTATCATCGACGATCCACACACGGGTAATGGCGTGCATGCGCGGGAGCAAGAGAAGGCCGGCACTAGCAAGCCATGCCGGGACCAGAAGTATAGATGATGGATTGGGTGGTTGGGGAGGGTAATCATCCCCTTTCCCTGTTTGTCGACTATCACAAAACGATCATGGGAACAGACAACCAGCTGGTCTTCTACCCTTGGGGTCTGAGGATGCGTAGTCTTGCCCACACGAGCGCGTTGTTCCTGAGAAGCAGAGATGAGGATGGTATCTCGAACGAGTTCTGGCAAACGTAGGTCGAGTATCGGGTCCCAATCGGTAAGCAGAATCGATGGATCTCCATATTGGTTCCCTCTTGAAGGAGAACGAATGTGCGGCTTGCGGAGAAAGCAGGAAAGGTCATGGGAGGGTGTGTAGCGTATCTCCAGCACAACAAGTGTGTCTGTCGGATTCTATTTCTGATTACCAGAGCGGTATTGGGCATCGCATTCACCGTCTTCAAGCAATGAAGTTTGATGCCAAACCGATAACTTGTTTCGTGTCTAAGAATATCGTCTATCAAGTATTGCGATTGATCAGCTGTTACAGAGCAAAGGTCTCAACTCCAGCCTCGCAGCTACAAGCCACGTGCCGCCCATAATTCGGGAAGCGTTTGCACTGTGAATCAAGAACTGAGGTAGCAGTGACCAATTGAGTGGCAAGAATCGAGAAATATGGTAGACAAGCATTAGAAGTCGAGCAAAGCAGTCCGAAAGGATCAAGAACTCCGCTCTGAGGAGTTGAACGTTCATGTAGAGATAGTTGTGCTGTTATAGTGATGAGTGCAGATGTAGAAGCACCCACTGCACCAAAAACCAAGACCCGTAATCCATCCGCCCTGATCTAAACCCCATCGGGAAAGGAGCCCGCGATAGACAACTTGGAAGTGGAATCTACACAGTACAGCCCTCACCGCCTAGTCACGTGACTGCATCACGAAAGAGGCACAGCCAAAGTTTCCACCAAACCTCCGCCGCAACCTCCGCATCCCCGATCGCGCAGACGCACGACTTTGATCCTCCGAACCATCAACCTTACGCCTCACAATCTCAGCGTGCTCACTACACTTCCTGCACAAAATGGCAAAGAAAGGTGAGTACTACCTCGATTGACAGCACCTTTGGATTTCAATTGCCCGTGGCTAGCGAGACATTCAGCCCGGTCGGACAAGAAGAAAAAAACGTCGCGCATCACTTTTCCCAGTCCTTCGAGCACTTGAGAGACATGTCTACGAACAGAAGCTAATATCTTCTTTCCCCACGTGTATAGCCAAGTCCCGTACCATCACCGTCCGTCTCATCTCCATGGCCATGACTGGCTTTTACCGCACAATGGTCCGGCCGCGTACGCACCGTCCGCTCAGCATGCTCAAGTACGATCCCGTCGTGAAGAAGCAGGTCCTCTTCCTCGAGGCGACCAAGGGTGGTCGGAACAAATAAAGTGGTTCGTCGGCTCCAGGGAGGCTCTCGCTGCCGTCAAACGGCGTCTCGCGCATCATTCGACGGTCGGTTCGTCTTCGTCGCAACACTCCCAAAACAGATCTCGGCCTGGACAAATCCCTGATACCGTTCCCTCGCTTCATTGTTATCGGTTCGCGGAGAACATCGGAACAACCAGCACGGCCACCACCTCCATGCAGCGAGTCGCCGAACTCTCTCCAACTTTTGAAGATATGATCATGTATATTATACAGCGCAACAGCCAAGACTTCAAATTGTGGGATGCACTCAACATCTCCATGTATGTCAAAGCTGTCTGCTTTCCTTGTGTTGCATTCTGGCGTTTTAGAGCAGTACAATCTGGGTCCATCATCGTTCAATATATCACAAATTACTTCACAAATTCCTTCTCACTGGAAAACTCGCCTGCAAGGAAGCAATATCAATGTTTTCATGAACTGAAAGGTTCGAAGCACATATGAGAGATTCATCAGTTTCATCAACATCACAAGTTCATCGCATAAGGATATCAACTAAACCACCATAATTCAACAAACGAGCAAAAAGAATTTGATGTTATCACATACTAACACCATTATCGGCGTGGAAGAGTCCTCGAATTGGGCATATCTTACTGGAATTTACTTTCCTCGGCTGAAGCGGGCATTATAGCGATCACCTTGGTGCTTTAGCAACGAACACTTGATTAACCATCAGAACCTACTCACCTCTTGTTTTTCGGCCGCCGCCTCTACCACCTCGAGTCGGCTTCTGGAATCCAGTTTGATTATCATCCAGCGCAGGTCTACTGCTTCCAGAAGCAAGCTTTTCAGGGCTCGTTTTGCGATCGAAGTACTCCGTCACTGTCTTCGTCTGCGATGTAGTCTTGATTGTGTCGAAGGATACTCTAGTCCTCTTGTTCATGATAGAGCGGGGCGTTCCAGCTTCAGTGACTTCATGTGCAATGTCTTCTTTGGAGGCGCTTGCTGCTGGACCCTTGGACTTCGCCTGAATCCGAGTCATTGACTGCTGTTGCTGCTTAGAGTATGTTCTTCGCGAACGCATGGAATTATCTTCATCGAAGCTGTCTGCGGAGCTACCCTGGCTGTGAGCAGTCTCCATATCGTGTAATTTGCGTTTCCCTTTTTGCGGATCTGGGACTTTAGTCTCGAATGTGACTGATCTGTGCTTCGCTCTGTTATCACCCGGTCTGCTGTTTCCACTACTCAAGTGTAGCTTGAGTACCGTGGGTGCTTTTTCAACTCTGCGTGGACTGCCGTCATCCTTAGGGCTTGCGGCCTTCGGAGAACTTTTTGATGGGGAGTTCTGTTGCCCTTCCATCGAGTCTTGTCCCTTACGCTGAGGCGAGCTTGTAGAACAGTTCGCAGCTAGTTCTGCCATGGTGGAGCTATCAACCACTGATCCCCTTTCCGGAGTGAATATAAGCATGGCTGCGAGGTCAAAGCTGTCGTTGCTTGGGAACAGGCATTCAGTGCGAGGGGATTGCTGCTGGATGCTGGAAAACGGAACAATACCTGACTTCAACAAGCACATTGAGTCCACAGAAGCCTCGTCATTACTGATTTTGTCGCTTCGCCTTGCTGGTGAAAGACAAGTGGTTGCCTGGCTGTCAGGTACTGTAGTAGCGGCTCTTGTCAACTTGGAATTGATCTGCTCAGGCTTTTCGATATCCTCCTGGGGAAGCAATCCACCGCTACTGGCACCGAGGGACCTTTCTTCAACAGGATTGACCCGAATATCATGTCGACTCTCAAGCGCAATGCCAGCCGTAGAGAGCAAAGTCACCTCAAACCTGCTCCAGACCTCCGCAAGCGAGTCTGTAGCCGCCGCGAGACCTGCGCGACCGAGAAGCTCCTTGAGTTTGTTTACCCACGCTTCTGAGTCTTGAACTCGCTTAAGGACTGCGTGGATTTCATCCTTTGTCTTCAGCTTGCTGCTCTCAAGATCCGCTCGTTCTGCTAGGACACCTGTGAGCCTCTCCTGGATTTTGTGACACTCTTCTTGTTTCTCCATGTTGTCTTGCAAAAGCGCGTCGAGCTTATGCTGCAAATCTGTCAGAACCTTGTCTTTTTCGTCACGAGTATTAATAAGATCATTTCCGAGGGCGAGTGCCTTCTTGTTCGTCTCCTCAATTTGATTTTGGAGACAGGTACTCCGCGCTTCGGCCAGAGCTGTCTGTTCCGCCAGTCTTGTCAGCTCTTGCTCTTGCTCGGCTAATTTAGTGGCCGTCTCGGATTCACGACAAGTCAACTCTTCAACTTCCTTTGCCTTCGAATCAAGCTATAAATAATTAGAACTCGCCCGGCTAGTCGTCATACAGGCCACTCACAAGGACACCTTGAGCGGCATGTTCTTTGTCTCGTGTATTTTTGAACTCATCCTGTCAATTTTTAGCTCACATGACTGAGAAGTTGGGAAAGGGCATCTTACGAATGTTGACTTGGTATCGTCAAGCTGCTTTTGAAGAAGATCCACTGATTGTGCTAGATCGGCTTTCTCTTTCAACAGATCGCGGTGTTGCTGTTCGTATCTGGCCTTTATCTGCTCCCGAGCGATGACACTGGCCCGACCCAACTCCTCTCGGACTTGGTTCTCCTTCTTCTTGACTGCATCTCTCAGGGTGACAACTTCCGATTCGAGCTGCATGACACAAGATTCTACCTCTTGAGTTCGTGATTCTGCCTTAAGCAGGGAAGATTGAATGGATTTGTTCTCGAGATCCTTTGCTCTCAATTCCTCTGCCATGACTTCCGACTCCGCCACCACTTTCTGCATCCTGTCCTCTACTTGAGCTTTCTCCAACTCGTGACGCGTGAGTTCAAGTGCAGCAGATTCAGCATTCTTGAGAGTCCGCGCATCACCCAGGTCGGCTTCGAGTTGCTTCATTTGGCCGCAAAGCCTTGCTTCGTTGTCCTTCAATGCGTCAATAGAACAGTTCAATTGATCAGTCAAAGGTAACAGGCGCGCAAGGGTTTCTCTCAGTCCGCCGAAATGCTCCGTATTCCTGGAAATTCCCTCGACCAGCGTCGATTCGCTCGCAATCTGACTTGTGACCCTTTGGAGTTGCTCGGTTAGGTTCGTCATATAGCCGCCATCATTTGCGCGGCATTCTTTGGTCAAGTCGTGTAGTTGAGTCAATTCACTTCCCATGCTTTTCTCTCGTGATCAGCAATAAGGCAGCATTGACTTAATTTGAGAGCTCACCGTGATATTTCACCCTTGACTCCGTCAATGCAGTCCTTTACACTCGAGTCGTTGTTCGCAATCTTCAAACAGAGATTATTCAGTGTTGTAACACATTTGTCTAAGCTAGGACCGATCATCTGCTGAATGCTGTTTTGAGAGAGCTGTTGCTGGCTACCCAAGGTGTGAAACACGGCCTCGAATCGCTTCAGAATCGCTAGCTGATCAGCCCTGATCTGATTAAGCTTTGGTTCTTGACTGCGGGAGCATTCTTGGATGTATTGCTCAAGAAGTCTGGTTCTTTTCTTCTCATCAGAAAGCTGTCCTCGAACATTTCTAGTCTTCTCCTCTGTTGCAGAAAGGGCCTGTTTCAGTAGGTCAACCTGGCTCTCTGACCGCAATAGCTGCTCTCTTCTTTTGCTGGCAGCATCTGAAGCTTTAGCTACTTGTGCCTTAGCATCACTAATACTTCTGTCAATATCTGTCTTTTCATCATGCACGCTCTTCTTCGCCGCCAAGAGCCGGCTTGCATCGCTACGGAGGGTCTGAAAGTCGGAACCAAGCTGGTTGACAAAGCCTTTGATGTTCGATATCTTCGACTGCCATGCATCGACCTGGGATTTGTAAGCTCCCAATTCTATCGTTCTCTTACGGATGACCTTGTCGGATACTGCAAGTTGACTCTTCAGCGCTTTATTTTCGTCAGCCAGGCCGGAGATGCAAGCTTCCATCTGCTCTCTCAATTCGACCGCGGCAGCCTCATTTTCTTCACGAGCTTTTATCCGTCCGATTAGCAAATGAAACAGATTCTCTTCGGACAAGGAAGAACCATCGTCTTCTGATGCTATGCGAGTTGGTTTGACATTGCGTGAATGACGACTTTTGCTTGAGCGGCGGCGCTTGGAGACCCTATACTTCTCGTTTGCAGGGCCCACCGGATATGTTTGGGCCATCTCACTGGCCTCTGGGATCTGCATTTGAGGAAACAGATCCTGTGCTGCATGCGTGATCTTAGATGCACCGTGCCCATCACCCAAAGGCGTACCATGATCGTCGGCCCTGCTCACTGCGGGCGCTTGGGAAATTGGATGATGGCTTGGGGGACTGAAGGTTTTCCTCATCTCGTTGTCTTTTGCTGCAAGTAATGTCAGAAGCCAGGTACCTTTGAATCTGGAGAAATTAGGTCCACCCACTCGATGATACGAACACAAGGGTCCCGTGTTCGGTATTGATAGGCAATTTGTTTGCATCAGGCACCACAACCTTCTCAGAACTCGAACCATGCAAGCCATTGTCAGAAAGCGGGGAGCAGGGTCGTCTAGGACCTTGTCTCGTATTCTCTCGAATCCGAGTTTGTGACTTTTGCGTGCCAGATCTTTGCCGATCACTAGTTGGAGAGTGTAAACTTAGTGGTCTGCAATATAGTCCTCTCCCTCTAGTCATCTAGAGGGACTTACCTTGATAAGCTTCTAGTTGCCTCGTTCGAGAGCTCGGTTGTACCATGCTCGTGCTGGGTGGTAGTATTGTTCAGTCCACCTCTGGACGACGATGGCTTAGTTGATGCCTGAAGAGTGAATGGCTTGCGACCTTGCGCAGGCTTTGCAAAAGAAAAAGCCGATAGGTCCAGACCAGAGCTTCTCGGTCGCTCCATAAGCAATGGCGATGGACGTCTTTCCGCAGGTCTGTCGGTTGAGGCAGTAGTGTCTTGGGTTGCCATTACAGCCTTGAGCTGTGGGGAAAGAGGCTCGTTGTTGGCAACTGCCATCGGTAGCAAGAATAGTTCCTCTACCTCGTCTAACGTACTGTCTGTGCCGGCTGGGGCGGTGGTGAGGTTGGACGGTGCCTCGTTAGCCATCTTTGGCACCTCGCTAGTCTGCACATTGACGTAGCTCTCAGGCCAGTTTAGAGCATGACATGAAGATCGAGCAAGGAGTGACGAGATCAATGAAAGAGGTAAAAGCAATGTAAGCTATCAGTGTGAGGTGTGAAAGGATTAGGTAGACTCAAGTTCAATCCTGGCCTTCAGGAACCGGGTGACCTGGCGGTGGACCGTCCGTCTGGGTAGGTGCCTTCCTTTTTCGGCAATCCACAACATATCTTAACAGCCATCGGCGGGGTGTCTCCTCTTGTTGCTGTGAGATAGTCCATCATACTTCAATATAACAGTGATCGAGCCTCCAAATTGGGTGTATAGATAGAAGTCATACCAGCACTGGGGTGAAAGAGGTCATTCATCACGCTAAATGTATCCAAGATGAGCGATTACTCTTTTTGTTTTCTGCAGCGTTGCCGAGTCTTGACAGTGTTGCTAATTTGCGTGACATCTGCACAAAGGTATCTGCAGCTCCCTGCAAGCTATCCAAATATTAGACCGGAAGATATGAATGTATTGCAGTGTAATATAGTAGGTGCTATAGTGCGAGACGGCGCTAAACCTACAGTTTTCCCCCCAGCGACAAACGGGCCCGACCCCATCGAACCATTGGTCACTTGCAGGCGCCGACACCACACCTTCTCCGAGCGCATTTCGTCTCTGATTTGATACTATGTTTCAATCACCATAGGATTGAAAAGCCCACTCGCCAGGCCTAATGGATGCAGCTGACGACCCAATGCCCATCCAGCAGAGGTCAAGGCTGTCTTGGTCGGGCCTATCACAACCGAACAGTCAAGGATAGCTCCTCTTCTCGAAACACCACAACCCCTGGGTGTTGAACCTGCGGAGAAGTCAAGCCCAAAGATACCTGAGTACCTAGTCACCAGTCTGCAGAAGCTCCTTTCTCATATACCCCCGCGATCTCCCACTTCACTGACATTTCTCTTCTCGCCCAGATCTTAAGTCACACAACGCTGCGCGTCGCCGATCCAGATCTTCCACACACCTATTCCTTTCCGATCGTCAATAAACCCGCACATATAACCACAGCACTATGCTCTCAAGGCGGCTTTACCTGCCCGCTGTCATTGCAGCGCTGATCGCGCAGACCTTCGCGCAGAGCGTGCTCGACGCAGTAGACGGCGAACAAAAGAATAACTCCGCGTCGACCTCGGAGACGAAAAGCGTCTCCTCGAAAGGCATGATCATTCTATGCACGATCGTCGCTTTAGTTATCGTTGTCGGAAGTCAGTCCCCCCGTCCATCCAAGCAAACAGATCGCCCCCCAGAAACGGGAGGATCCCCCAAGCCTGCTAACCAAGAAAGCGCAGTCTCGTTCACAACCATCTTCATCGTGTTCAAGAAACGGCGCTGGCAGATGCGCGAAGCGCTCTACTCGACCGAGCGCGTCACCCCGGACATCGAGCGGGCTTCGATCGCCAAATTGCCATCAAGCCAGTTGGACCGGGTCGGCACCCGCGCAGACGCTGAAACCCGGTCTGCGTCTCGAGCACACCATGCGGCCGCGGGCCAGGTCGAGAAGCCGGACGCATCTGGAATGGCCGCGACACACCGAGGATGGGGCTCGTTCTTCTCGTTCGGGCGGACGCAGAGCCGGCAGTAATCGACTCTGCACGTATTGTCAAGAGGTACCTGGATGATTCTTTGCATTTGGGTGTTTATTTTCGGCGTTGTAAGTGGGATTTTATGGGGATTATCGGTTTTCTGAGAAAAAGGCGTCACCTCCCGAGCACTTTTTGTTTAGCGTTGAGTTTACAACTATTCGCGAAGGGCTTATTTCACCTTCAATCACACGCGCCAGGTGCGCGGACCAGCTTGAGTATTTTGCGGGAATCGGCATGCTACATACAGTAAGCGATCATGAGTCCTACAAAATCAAGAGTCTTGCTCCAAAGGAAAGGGCACACCTTCCTTCCCTCGTATGATTATATCCAATGAACCCGGATCGCATCCATCAATCAGTAGACGTGGACAAAATACTACCCTCGAGCAATGCATAGCACATGTCTACATGTGATACAACAAGTCCTCTTGCTCAGTGATGCCGTAGCATTACCAGCAGTCTCGACCACCAAGTCATTTACACCACACAATCAAGAAATCAAATTATGGGAAACCGGACTGGATAGCTCAGACTCTTCGAACCAGAGACACACATTCTACTTATTAAAATTGTGTAAACAACATCGACTGCCCTCGATGTCCAACCCGAAACCCATCGGGAATATATTTCCGACACAGCCTGCAGCGACGCAACAGCAACAGCAGCAGCTCATTCTAACATCCTCCAATTTCAAGATTGAGAATACCCAGCCCATAGAAACATGATCCAGAAAGCGCCTACGCATAAAGATAGCAAAGTAGCAGATCAAGACCGTCATAGCTGCAATATAAACCTTTCTTTCTATTGGAGAGAGTGGCTTCGCCAGGGATATCTATTCAGCTGAGGCGGTAGGTATTGTACATACTTGCGCACCTAGCATGCGAATCCTATACATTGAGTTATACTTACAATGCCGTTTTACATAAATATCGGCATGAAAATAATGCGAGCACATTAGGGCTTGCGGACCAACAGGACAAGAGGATCGGAGATAATCGTGTCCCGCTACGTTTGAGTCCCCTCCACGAATGCTACCCATAGAAGATTATCCGAGACAGCCTCTGGGAGGAAACAGTGCCGGCGGTTGCTCCGAACGTGTTTATTCCACTAGCATAGCTAGCATAAGGAAAGTCGATATTGTACATTGCTTGAGAGCATGCATGTATGAGGACTGCAGAATCTGGCCGAAGTCGGATGTTCATCATCCCCGGGGGCAAGTCCATCACAGACAGAAATGGCAGACAGTAGTTTTGGCCCACAAAGATCCAATCTCACCTCGGTCGTACGCAAGCATAAAACGATAGAACAATCGACAAATCCGGTTCGCGACGGCTGCCAGTCTCCAATTCTTCATTTGAATGCAATGACGGAAGGCCGACGGACGGAAAATCCCGGGGCGGTGGTATCGGGAGTGAGCTCTGCCATCTTCACAAGTCACTTGGAGGGGCTTCCCACCACCTTGAAAGCCGCATTCTTCGACTGAGTGCAATGTTCCTACATGTTCTGGTGTTAGAACAGAGTCAGAGTCTACATCTCCTGTACCTTTGTCAACCATACCCCCATCCCTCCGT